TACCCCTTCGCACTCAGCCTCCCTGGTGTGCTTCTTACTTCCCTGGTTCATGCAGTACTCAACCCTCATCCCACACACACACAAACATGTTTTTGCTACCTGGTGGGATGCTACCATGCTTTCTGATGCAGTTACAGCAAACCAGAAATAAAGCCAATCCCCAATCAGCCCTCTGAGCCCGCCTATCACTTCATACAGCCAATCCCCATTCAGCCCCCTGAACCGCCTATCACTTCATGCAGCCAATCCCCATTCAGCCCCCTGAACCCGCCTATCACTTCATACAGCCAATCCCCATTCAGCCCCCTGAACCCGCCNCTTCATACAGCCAATCCCCATTCAGCCCCCTGAACCCGCCTATCACTTCATGCAGCCAATCCCCATTCAGCCCCCTGAACCCGCCTATCACTTCAAAACCAGAGATTTCACAAAGGAAGCCTGGCCTGACTGCACAGACTGGTGGGGCCCTGTGACGTCATAAATTTGCATACCAAAATTACGTCAATATTGAATGCAGAAGGCTAACAATTTTTAAACAGTAACAAACTACGTTTGACACATTAGTTCACGTATCAGTATAAATTTAAATGCTTTATATAACACTAAAGATTTTAAAAATCACCTCTTTTTACACATTTGCTAGGTCAAATATAACTGTAAATATAAACAAACAAAAAACCTACTCGGTATGTTAAATATCACCATAAACCTAAATAGGAAAAAACTCCCCTTTTAGCACATTTGGTAGGCCAAGCATCACTGTAAAATTTAGGGATGAAACAGTACGAAGATCACAGTGACCAAAATTATCATGGTTATCAGTATCATTGCGGTAAAGTTCAAATGTTAAGTAAAATGTTAAAACTTAAAATACACAAACAATTTCACAAACTTTAAAATTGAGAACCATAAATAAAATTAGAGCTATGCGCTTTTTGTTTGCATTGGCATCAAAATAATTACATAGACAACACCTTATGCAAACACATGAAACCCATATCAAATACACAGACATCAAAAAGCTCAGGAGCGCCGTCACCACCAAAGGTTACCTGCCGCCTTCCGCCATGTTGTCAGTGACACAAAGCGAACCGGCGTGGATGCTGTACCTGCGCACGGGAGACTGTCGCTGACTGTGCTTCATGCTGGGCAGTGAGTTTTTCATAGTGCAGTAATCAGTCACTTTCAATGATAATTAAAATTTGAAACGGTAATACTAACCATCTGGAATTTGCTTTACCATGAAACCGATAACAGTTTCATCCCTACTGTAAATAGTAAAAATAACCCTCCATTTACCACATTTGGGATGTCAAGTATCACTGTAAATATATAAAAGAAACTCTTTGCAAATCTTTAGCACTGTAAATAGCAAAAAATCTCCCTTTTGAAAAATAAGACATTTAATCTTTATCAATATTCCAAGTCAGCAGCACTAGAGCTATTGGAGGATCAGCCATTCTTTTTCCATAGTGGAGGACGAGAGATTTCATCGCCTCTTTAACCCCTTATATAACAGTCTAAAAGGACATGTTTAGAATTCATTATTAAATCTGACAGATCGGTCGTTACTGGGGATCCTGAGAGATCGGTCTTTCATTTTCCATAGAATAAAACCGTCATTCTGCTAATCTGTAGTGACAAGTTTAACCACTTTTTCTAAATAAAAAAGGTCTGGATTTGTTGCGGAAATCATGATGAAATATTCTAACTCAACAATTGTCATTTTTCATAATTAGTTACCAGTTTTCTACACTATTTAACTAGATAACAGCCCTTGTAAGTCACTGCTTCAGTTGAGGAAGAGTGGTAGCAGTGGAGACTTACAGATGAACACACAGCTTCTAGAAAGTTCTGTGCTTACTGCTATTGGGCGAGGGATGGTCACGGTGGGGACCAGATAAGCCCAGTGAAATGCAGAGTAATTCTGGTTTAATTCAGGACAGGAATATAGGTCAAGCATGACTTTATACCATTCAGGTCAGTGTTGGTATGAAAATGTGATTATGTCTCATGTTTGAACTTTCATGTAAAAGTTGTCATCCTGTTCAATGCATAGTGCTTCCTTCCTGCACACTTCTTGTTTTAGTGGCATGACATGTGAATTACTCACCTTTCCATGGCAACACAGATCAATATATCAAAAATGCCTTTGCAATTTAGTATAGAGAACATCCTCAGATCATAGGAACCATCAAGGTAGAGTATTTAAAAGTTTGGTACATAATAAAACACAATTTTCAGAATGTCCGACCTTTCCTTTGGGGAATACATAACTTGATAGCAAATTTTAGGCTACGCCTGGATCCAGGCTTTTGATAGAGCCAAACGACCACCTCTTCTGATATGTGATGAACATGCCCAGCACTAGAAAATACACATTTGCCTAAAAAAATTATAGAAACAATAGTGTCCCTTGCATACTTGGTGCTGGAAACCCACAAATACTTCTCAATTACATTTATGGAGAAAAGTTTCCCATAATAACCAACAATACACAGATGCATGAAGCCCTTTGCTGTGAATCCTCATTCCTGTTCTGATTACCTTAGCCCAGTATGCGTAATTAGCCATGTACCTTAGTACTGGACAGGCATCCAGTTGGGGGGACAGTGACACTCTCACAGTACAGGACTTTGTGGTCATTTTGTTGTATTGATGCCTTTTTAGTATATAATACCGTATGATTATTCTCTTTTTGAGTGTGCTATTTTGTTGCATTGTCATTTCAGTAAATCTTGGATTCTGGTCAATTGGCAGCCTTTATACACTGCAATGTGCAATCTTGTAGTATTGAATCTGGTATCCGTGACATAAATAGTATTCAGTTTGCTAAAAGTACAATCAGTGTCAGTAGGAAACTAGCAAATGACTAATTCAGAGTTTTGAAGACGGCTGTAGGTGGATACCTACAGTGCACACAGACATTCCCAAAATAAAACTAAACACGTGGTTTAAACACAGTGGCTACTTTTCATTTTCAGTGAACATTGTCATTGATGGAGTTATTTGCTTGCAGAAACATTTTGCTTTGATGAAGTTGTGTAAGATAGCATTTTGCAAAGTGCTGGGCAGTATCATTTAAATGCTTAGAGAAAAGCAGTGATAATAGTAGATGTTCAAATAGAAAAAAAAAACAATAAAAGTACATCTCAGCCAATAGTACAGGTGTTATAGTGGCGATTTCTCCACATTATTATAATATTTGCTGTAAAATTACAGTTGTTCCACTTTTAAGTTTTAAGGGGGCGCACTTCCACACACCACCTATACACACATTGGTTAAAAAGCCCCATGGGGACATTTTGCCATTTTCAGAGAATCTTCACTAGGCATGTAAAAAAATTCATTTTCTATCGTTTGCAATGGTTGTGGCGGTGGGAACCGGGGTAGCCCGAAAATGGTCCCCTCCGGTTTGTTGTGTAGTTAGGTTGTGGTATACGCAGACACCATTTACATCATGGTGAGTGGCTCAGCCTCTGTTCTCATGATCGCCAAAAAATAGAGCAGACGAAGAGAAGAATCCCACTATACTGATTACAACACACATTTCTTAAAGGTGAAACGGAAACAGGCCAACCTTTCACAATACCATCATAACACTCAACAACCTGTCGATTTCAGCCTTGCTATACACCAATGGTTCTGCCATTACCAGTTCTCCCTCCACACTCTGTCATGTGCCACATACATAGTAGACAGTGAGAGCATCCAGAATGTCTTGCACACTTGTGATACTTCACTACACCCTGAAAAGACGGTGCACGTACTGGACATTTTCTCTAAGTTTATTAGACAGTGCGACGAGTTCAGAAGCCTCCTGCTTCCTTCCATCTTTTCTGAGAGCTCCTTGTCGCTCCACCTGTGGAAAATGTACAGCGTCAGACACACGGCTGCAAAGCCAAATACAGGTGGGGGGACACCACAAGGAAGAGTCACCATCACTGTGCCAAATGCAGGATCAGTAGCACAATGTTGTTCTTGCTTAAACATCTATATTGCCTTGGCCCTATACTCAGACTGCATGGTTGTGCTTCTCCATACCCAACTAAAACAGCACTTACCCACAGGACCCTTTCTTTTTGCCCCCTTGTGGTCACTTTCTGTTAAAACACTGCCTTTACCACACGGTGCGCTGAGGGGACAGACTTTATCTTGCCCTCTAACACTAGCAAAACTGCAGATGTTTCTCTTGTTAAGGCTCTTCAACAGCCCAATAATGCATTCTGACAGGTGATTCTACACCAAGTCCTCAAGTTTCCTGCAATATTTCCTGCAACGCCCACATAAACTGACACATTGCTGCTCAAACAGCTGTCACATAATACCCAAACTGACTACATTTAATATGATAATTGTATCATCTTTAGAGCCAAACAGGACTCATTACAGTTAAAATTATAACCCCTGTGGTGTTCTTGATGTTACCCCACATGTGATGATCCATGGCCTTTTCTGCTTCCCATTCAGGTCGGACCTCACGTCTGGTCCTCATCCACCCTTCCTATGGTGAAACCACTTTCATGTTCAATTTCATTTTACCAGTAGCACATACCTGACGGAGGACCGGGCCAGCTTCCACCCCACACATTAGGTGCCCACGTCTGCTGGTGTGAACGTCCCCATAAGCCTTCAAAAGGTCCCCGTACACACATCACTGACGCCAACATTAAGTGGCAGTTCCGCCGTTTCACTGCTAGAGGGCTTGCTTAGTGCCATCCAGCATGTACGACATTAATACTGCTGTCACACATGAAGCAGCATGTGTGAACTCACCTGGGATGCTGGAATCCCATAGGGCTTGTTGCCTTTTTAACTATTTAAAAATGAACACCTTTTCACAGAAGAAATACAGTAACAGACATACCATTTTGCCATATGTGCTCACCTCGGAGGTCTCAGCGCCATCGACGACACACCTGCCAAAGTAGTCCGTGGACAAGTTGGAACAGGGCCGGGAGGAGGACGTGCCAACAGGCCGCGAAATGACCACGGCCACGTAACCAAACATGTCATTTTATTGTCTTAAAAAGTAAATGACACCATCCCCAGTGGGCTTGTCACATACACTACGAGAACAGGGACCAGCACTACTACACAAATAGGGACCTTCAAATATTATAGACATTACAAAAGAAATCCCCCATTCCCTCGGCAGTTATTATACTAAGCATGACCCAGCGACAGCATTTACAATATGGTACACATTCACAATTAAAAACAATGTTATTGGACGCTGTTAGAAATCGATTATGTTGAGGGAAGACATTTCATGGACCGCCATCATTTCATATGAAACATTTTACATATTCACAGGCCATCCTTCCTGAAGGACGAGTGGGTCACCGCCGACCGGACTTTTCAGTGCAAACGTGTTTAGTTGAGGCAGTCCTATCTGCGATTCTCCCCTTATATTTCCAAAGGAAAAAACAGCAAAAAAAAGAAAAAAAAAGATTCCAAAAAAAAACAATGCAGACAAAAATAAAGAAGGAACCTGCGATGCCATGGCGTAGGCGTCCTCGGGCCTTCGGTTCTTTGCATTTTTCACGTCGTCAAAAAGACAGGTCATTAATGAGTCCCAACAAAGTGGAGGCGGACAAAACAAAGATGAAGCCCACACGGGCTCCTCTCCGCAGCTCACTCGGAGGCCCCTCTGGAGAACACACGTGTGCCGTCACGCGCCCGCCACTTTCACCCCATCGTATCATGTGAACGACCAAGGCTGTACTCCTTGAACCTCATTCGACTTCACTACTTCTCACAAACTCGTTGAATCGTCACACCCTTTTCTTGTGCTTTCCTTGCATTTCATTGGCACTCATGAACCAGTTAAAAAATAAAGTATCGTCAGGGTAGAATTCCACAGCTTCTCTAGAACCAAAGTAGACTGATGCTCACATTCGGTACAGAGAAAACAACACACACACCTTTCGCATCAGGGTCATCGATAGACACTCAGGCCTAGCCAGAGACGACTGGTAGAAACTGAAATCTAAGAAGGATGCGTGCACCCCCAACGCTTTCAACTCAATTCCGGGACAGATCCCTGAGGCTATCATAGCTGCAAACGTGTGAAGAACAGTCACAAAAAAACAGGAACCTTCCAAACTGATCTAGGGTGAGTTGGTGACCGAGGCAGCGACATGGATTTTTACCACTAAGACAGGACATTGATCCCAAGGCGGCCGAGCATGCGTGTCATCAATGCTGACGACTGTATGCTTGTTATGTGCTATTTTCTTGACTCGTATGCAAGACTGCACTGGCAATAAAAATCGGCCCAGAACTTTGGAGTCCCCTATGAAAAACTGGCTGGTCCACAAACCTCCCACCCACTGGGAAAACGCCCAGTACACCAGACAGCCAGTCCAGCCCTGCTCGTACATCACTTTGGATGAGAGCATTTCATCCAAATAAAGTTCATGGAAATGTGTCGGTTACACGTTTGTGACGAAACCTAGACTGCGTCAACACAGACACAACCCCTTGACTGGGGGGCGGGGCACTGGCACCAGTTGCCTGACTGGTCTGTAACCAGTAAACTGGCTGGGTTATACGGTGATGCCCTTAAATGACAAACCACAAATAAAAGGGAGGAAAACAACCAGCTTCCCAAACAAACCTCCCAGCACGGTTAATGTGCAAATTATCCCGAGCAGTTTCAATCAAGCGTTCCCAGCCACATGAGAGAGTGGGACCCAGGCAAGACACCCTATGCCATGATTAACCGTAAGACCCCCACGACCTCCACTAAGGGGCCGTTCTTGGTACGGCAGGGATGCTTGAAATATGGCCTGAAATCACAGGGTGCCCCCATCCAGAGAGGTGAACGGCCTCCAAAGGAGACCCAGAACACTACATTCTTCACTACGCTTGACTCCGATCAGCTCACACTAGCAGGACGGACGCAAGGATAAAAAAAAGCCAGACTTTATGGTGTCGCTTTGGGACGATGCCAGATGATTCTGTCAGGGGCAGATCAAGTGAGACATCCATGCGAAAACTCCTTCTTGCTATGTGATACAGACTATAGAAACCACATTGTTGCAATTTCCTCAGGCTTCCCTTGTGCGTTCACAAAAAAAAGAGAAAAATTACAAACTTAAAACACATCAGCTGTGATACCTCACCCAACAGATATTCCATATTTTAGGGAGATTGTTTTCTTACCTGACTAAGAGTAAAAAACAAAAACTAGAGAAACAAATCGCTAAAAATAAAGTGAAAATTCTAATTTTTGATTGAAAGTGACGGCTCACGTGATGGACATCCCTCCTCTATTACCGTGGTCCAAAATTTCTGGGGGAAAACGTTCTAATAGAAACTAATCCATTTCACTGGTTTTACTTGAGTCTTATGAGCGGGGGAGCGATGGAACCGTTTCCGGGGTTGTTGCTGGGGGAGTGGCTAGAGGCGTGGCCTGGGGCATTGCTCGGTCTCCGGAGGGCGTGGACTCCCACCACCTGTCAAACGCTCGTGATGGAGGCCAGACAGTTGGGCGACTTCTGCAGTTTCTCCGGCTGCGTGCCAGGTGGCTCCGGGATGGCGCGGAAGGTGAAGGGCGGTAGGCCAGCTGCCACAGTACCCATGTGACCGGGGCTCAGCGCTGGATTCTGCCGCCGGTTACTCTCCACGATGCTGGAGGTGTTGGATGCCAGGCTTTCCCGGGTGCTGCCGCACAGACAGCGCAGAGCCGGGGTTATGGGCAGACCAAGATGGGGTTAGGGGTGGTAGAAAAAAGGGAGGGGAAAATTAAGGTGGTGGGGGTGGGGTTAGAGGGGCCAATGGGGAATGGGTCAGAGGGAGTGAGGCAGAAAAAGGAGACAGAGAAAGGGAGGAAAGCACATTAAAGTCGGCTTGCCACACTGACACATCTCTCTACCGAAGACTGAACCGACCGATGTCTGCTGCTATACTCTGCCCACCCCCCCCCCCCCCCCCCCCCCCCAGCACTGTCCAAGCTACTTGAAAATGCGATAGGAAGGATTTATGCCCAGGTGAAACCTCTGCAGCCAGCTAAAGTGAGCGGCCTCGATACTTACAACCTGATAGGGTCTCAGTCAAGAAGCCAGGATAACAGGAGAGAGGCATGGATGACAGATCACTTCACACACCCACACATCAGCCTAATCATCAGCACAGGACCACAAGAAGTTTCTCTGGCCTACCCAAGCTCAAGGTGAAAAGCCAAACCCACAGGAGAGCAGAATACTCTAACGGTGGTGCCCTGTCCCTCTACTGCAGCACAGCATTGCCACTAATGGCCCCCCCAGTCTCTTGCGCTACAGTGCTCTCCATACTGACTCAAGCTGAGGCGGCTGGTGTTTCCTCTCCCCTTATTCCATGCTGGCTATTTTAACACAAGGAGTCGACTGCTCACGTTCATTCACTGCCTTAATGTGGCGTCTATTAGACCGGGACCCGGATACAAATCCAGGCCACAGCCGAAAAGCAGATGGGATGCCCTCCATCGTTGATGGTGGAAGACCCTGAATCTGGTGGGCTGATCACGCCTCCCATCTCATGCACGATCACGTCGCTGTCCGCTAAAAAATCTTCATCCGCATCACAGCATTTCCAGATACTGGGAAGACTGGGGGGGTGTTGGTTCAGCGGGGACTGACATCATCACGGACGATGACTCACCCAGGAAACGGTGAGTGAAGTGAACCAGAGGCAGTGAAATTAGCTGCAGTCTGCTAGTGAGCCCGTTAGGGGCCATTAATTTATATATACAGGCCGGCGATCGGCCAGGCATCCCCTGCCAGAGCCGCTGTCTAAATCTTGATTATGCAGAGATATGGACAAGTTTAAAAAGATTAGTAAACAGCCAGAGCATCGCTCACACCACCAGAGCTACCATATGCTGTGAGAAAAGAGCACATTTATACAGACGTTTATAAACCATATTCCCATCTATAGGCTTAGAGCCAGCACTTGCCCACACATGAACACACCTACAAAGCTCCCAGTCCAGAGGGTATGGATGATCCTTTAAGTGGGGGGGGGGGGCACCTGCAAGCCGAGAACAACGGTCGTTTGACCGGATCGGCCAGATCATATCAGAGATCTAAGCATGCCGCCAATGGGCTCATGGACAAACAGATGAGACAAACACCGCATCTCTTTAATTGGTGACATTTTAAAGATCCACAAACAGGTGTTTAAAAAAAAAGTCACATGACCACAGGGTACCAAAGGACCTTGTCCAAATTGCTTTTTGTTTCCTATTAACATACTGTCCATGACACCTGTCCGTGGCACAAAGAGAAGACTGTTTTTCATGTAGCCCCCCCCCCCCCCAGACTCATAAAGGAAGCGCTGCCAATTAAACCACCACCTCTGGCGATGGCAACAGTACTCATACGTGGCAGAGTCGCATGGCTCAGCCAGTGCCACAGTGTCTGTCTTGTCCCCCATAAGACTGGGACCCGGATTCAATCAGCCACAATCACAAGCCTCCCCCCCAGTCACAATCACAAACAACAAATGGAGGATGGCAAATAACATTGGCACTACACAAGAGCATACAGTACAAATAATGGATTAAAAAAATACACAAACAAAAATGATACAATAAACATAGGCAAACTTGCACAAGTGGCCTCTGAGGAATCAAATGTGTCCGATAAGCTCCTCCCCCAGGAAGGCCTTACCGTGGGGAGTTAAAACCGCTGTCCACAGTGACACTGCTGCTGTCCATGCTGTCGAGCCGCGCCGAGTGGGCCGATTTCTGGCTGCCGCCCATCTCCGTCTCCCGGGGGCTCAGGAGACTCAGGTTGCTCTCAAATTTGCGCTGCAGGTCTCGCTCTTTCTCACGCTCCAACAGCCACTGCATGGTGCCGCCGCCCTCACGTGCCTTCCCGTCCTCTGCCGATGCCTTGCGCGCTGCCTCCTCGGAGTCGTCGTCGTCTGACACGTTATAGTAGTCGAATGTCGCCTCGGCGCCAGGAGGCTGCTCCTGGCCTGGTGGCACTGGCACTCCTGTGGAGGCCGCCTGTGGGTCCGAGCAGTCGGGGACCTCCGATGGCTTGGCATGCGGAGACTTGCGCAGCGTGCCCGGCCTCGAGTGGCCGCCCTCCGTATAGGCTGCCGCTGGCGTGCCATGCGGGGGCTTGAACAGGGTGTCCTTACTGAATATCTCCTTCCTCTTGTCCACATTGGCCTCCGGCGTTTGGCTCGGCGCCGGTGCCCCTCCGCCATTTTGCGCCTTGGCAGTGGCGTCCTCCTTGTACTCCAGGGGATGCGGCGTCTGCCGCTCACAAGGCGAGCTCTTACGCACGGCATCCGAGGACGTCGGCGTCTCGCGCTCAGGCTTGCCTAGGGGGGATGGTGCTGTGAGCACAGTCTCGTTGGACGTATTGCACTGGAAATAATCGTCCGCGGCAATGGCGGCAACAACAAGGGCTTTCGGCGAGCACGCTTTTGGGTCTCCATATGCTGACACTGCATCCCTGCTCTTGCTCTTCTCCGACGGGCCACATGGCCTCGGGTCCTCAGGGCCACCCTTGCCTAAGTCGGGCACACACATCTCAGAGCCGAACTTGGTGCCCGACAGCACCATCCGGGAGTAGTGCGGCGTGGTCTGCGAGGCCCGCAGGGTGCCATCGTCCGTGTAGTATCGGCTCCGGTCATCAGTGGTGCGGTCAAAGTCGTCGGTTGCGCCCACTGAGGCAGCACCCAGGGGGCCCTTGGAATTGTCCATAGAGCGCGACCGCTCCTTGGCCTTGTCAGAGCGCTCGTTGCGTGACTTTCTATCCTGCGTGTGGCTGTGGCTCCGGTGCACCTTGGAGTGCGACGTGCCCCTTGATGGCTCAGGGAAGGGCATCTCTGTCCGTCGCTTGGCCAGCTCCCCGGAGACGTCCCACTCGGGTGTGACAGGGAAATGTGACTCCACGATGTTGGGGTTGCTGTGCACCAGGCAGTTGCCACGGCCGCGCTCCACCGAGAACGTGCCCTCCCGTGGCGAGCGTACGAGCGATGAGCTGTAAAGCCGGTAGTCCCGCTCGCCCGCCAGGTCCAGGTTGGAGCCCTCAGATGGGTCGCCCCGAGACGCACGCGTCTTGCTGTGTGAGCGGGTCTTGCCATGCGCCTTGCGGTGAGCCCGGCTCCGCCGACTGCGCGCACTCTGCTGTGCCGACGAGTTTGCCTTACTCCTCTGGGCACGCTCCTCCTCCAGGCGCTTCATCACCGCTGTGTGCCGCATCACATTGCCCACCGTCAGGTCCGGGTTGATACGCCGGATTATCTCCATCTCCACATCGCGTGGGATGGCTGTGGGCGTGTCCTCGTCACGGAGCGGCCACTCCTCTGGGGGAAACTGGGCTGAAAACGTGGCCAGGTGTTTCGTCTTGTCCTTCTTGAAACTCAATCTAAAGAGCTTCAGGCCAAACTTCTTTGACTGCTTCTCGCTGCCACCGCCTCCACCCCCGCTGCCGCCCCCTCCCCCCTCCTTCCGCTTCGTCAGGGTGTCCGTCTTGTATGACACATTGAGGCTACTCTTGCTCTTCTCTGTGGCAGGGGCAGGGTGCGGGGCCGGGTGTGGGGCCGGAGGCTGCGCAGGTGGTGGCGGCGTCGGGTATGACTCCTTGGGCTCCTTGGGCGACTTCCTCTGGATGGTCGAGGCATGCAGGCTGTGCAGGTCATCGCGGTACGAGTTGTATGAGTCGCAGTGGTTTTTGGAGTGCGGCCGTTCCCGGACGCAGCCCGATGTTGATGGTGTGATGGTTCCTGACTGTGGCGAGGTGCACTGCTGCTGTGGCCGCTCGGGGATCCGCTCATCCAGGTGGTACCACTTGCTGTTAGTCCTGATGAGGGAGGGCGTTATGAAATACGTCTGCGGCGTCACAATAAAGTACCCCTCCGGGGTTGGGTAGATCTTCCTCTCCCGCACCAGCATGTTCAGCGTGTGCCGGAGGATCTCCGGGCTCGGAGTCGGGACACCTGCAAGGTGGAGAGGTAGAAATGTATAAATGAGCCTCAGTTTGGCACACCTGGGTCATCTGAGAAATTTCATGTGCTTGTGGGTGACCCAGCAACGAGGAGCAGGATGCTATAAGGCTATCAAAAGCCTCCCACCTCCCAGCAGATATTCTATACGGGAACTTTCTGCTGGCATTCTCTCTGGCTATACGCAAAAGACGCGAGGAGACCATCCTGAAAAAATATTTTCTTTCTTATTATAATATCTAAATTTTCATGTGAGAATGCCGAGAGACAGCAAGTTCTTTTTTTAGGGGGGTGGGGAGGGGTTCTGAAGATTCACATGCAACATGTCTCATTTTCAACCGCCTCCTACAGGCCAGTGACAGATGTGCAACTTTGTCGGAATGGGCCAGAGGAGTATAGGGCTGACGTTAAGAAAAGCGGTCCCTGCGTCACAATGCCCAGTGACGGTGCCCATACCTCAGTGCCGCAAAGTTAAATTTGGCCATTTAATTTTCATTGTGGCTGTTGGTGCGTGCTGGGAGGGAGGGGTACAGTGTCTCCGAAAGTCACGCCTCCAACCTGCCACACATGTTCAGCTTCCCCCGCCTAATCCCTGCCATGTCGAGACATCGCTACGGTCACCGTAACATTCCAGACGCCTGCCTCCATGCTGGTCAGGAAAGACCGGGGTTTCGCACATAGTCTGATTTCACCCTCACTGTGGAATTTATGATGGGGGGGCATGGTATCCCCAGGTCTCCTTAGGGTTAACATGTCAAATCAGGACGCAGCTATCTGGCTGTTTAATACAGTAGATTACCCTTAACTAGACAGGTTTAAATGTTGCCTGCCATTACATCATACTGAGTTAGTTGCCATACCAACATGACGCAACTTTTTTTTTTTTTTTAATCCCTCCTCCTTTCCAGAGAGCAACCGCGTCACTCCATGAATGGAGTCCAATTCTCTCTCATTGCAAGATGCAGGCGCGTCTATAACATGCAAGTGACAACGGGTGCATTTAGATTCCTGAACACGAGGTGGCGCCCTCCACTACTGAGCAGAGCCACTTCTGACACAGACCACTGCCAGGCCCCTCAGGAGCAACAGTCAGCATCAACATGCTAAGGGTTGAGACACAACCCTGTTGCCTTGTTCCGCACAGGGTGTCTGGGCTTGGGCTCTTTACTGCATCTTGATGCGTCAGTCAGAAGATACAGACTGCCATGCCCACCCAGGCTGCACACGGCACCAGCCTTCCCCACACAGGGTTTCCCCTGCAGGCCAGATGGGGGTTCCAGCCTCCACACTGCCCAACCCCCCCCCCCCACCACCACCACCACCACCGGTGGAGTGTTGTCGTCTGTAAAGAGCAGAGCGACAGAGAGCTGGAAAAGCTGACATGTCTGCATGGAGTGGCACTGAGCAGCAGGTCACATGACCCTTCAACCCATCAACCACAAACCTCACAGACAAGGATCAACAGAGATTAAAAGTGCTCAGTGATGACATCCATCTGTCACCAGCACCCAGATCAGATGCTCGGCGCCTCACACCGGTTCCAGTGCTGCTGCAGCAGCGCTGGGGAATCGTTAGACTGCTACACAGCAAAGACTTTGGCAAAAGCATCAACAATCCAGTCAAGAGACAGCATTCTGACTCTTCAGTGTAGGGCTACGTGATATCACTTTGCAATATAATTGCAATTACATGGTGCATGCGCAATAATCACCTGGGTTTTAAAAGACGGCACTAAACATTTGTGCAAACGCAGGCCTTTTGATACTATATGCACGTTTACTTACGCCTGAAATATGCCTGAAATATATTAATGTTTTTGGGTGTATTGTGAATTTGTATAAATTCGGCGCATCCTTATGTTTAATAAATTCAGCTAGCAGAGCACGCCACATAATACTGATGTGGTAGAAGCAATAAGCACTGACGTGGCGGTGAAGAAAGGGACAGCTCAGCAGCCACAACATTTTTCAAAAGAGAAGACAGTGGAGAAACAAGGTAAAAAGACGTTGGTCGTGTGGTGGTACTTTTTGCAGTTTAAAATCCGATACGTTTACTAAACATAAGAACACACAATTTACTAACTTTTGGGTGTCACAGTATGCCTCTCATTAATATTTCAGGCATACTACTTATCTGCTTACCAAATTATGGGCGTAAGTAAACGTGCATATAGTACCGAAAAGCCAGCGCTTGGACATTTGTTTAAGCCCGTTGTCTAAAACTCTGGTGATTATTGTGTGTGAGCCATATAATCACGATAAAATATCATGCAGCTCTACTTCACAGTCTTTCTCGTGTATTACCGGGGTGTTGCTGTCGACACGATGCTCACTGTCCAGTGGAACACAGCACTGTCAACTGGTCAGCCTGTTAGCCCTCCCATAACATTACATAACAGCCTGTCAGCTAACAGTTTACAAGACAAGGACCAACCACTACTCTCACTGGCCGACCATCAAAAAGTGGTGGAAAAACAGCACTGGTGCAGTGACAAGCTTCTTTGAGGACAGTATGGTGCACTAACTGCACCGGAGCAGTGACAGGCTGTTTCGAAAATGCAGTGCACTATAAATACTGGAGCAGTAACAGGCTGCTTTGTGGACAGCGCAGTGCAATAACAGCACTGGTGCAGTTTCATGGTGCATTCCATTTGCCTTCGGATCCGAGTTTCGGTTGCCGAGATTAACCGAGTCGGATGCATTCCATTTGCCACAGAAGTAGCAATACCATAGACCGGTATCAAAAAGCAAGATTTTTTGCTTAGCTGGACATCTTGCCGGATTTAAGGTACCTCAGTTTAAATGGCCTTTATCTTTGTTCACTTCCAATTTGCCTGAACTACCCTAAATCCGACAAATAATCCGATTAATCATGAAATCCAATTCTAGCCCGGTTAATTGTTAGCCATTGTAAGCAATATCTGTTAACACATTATGCACGATGCTTTACGTATAAAACTCCATAGCAACACGTCCACAGAAGTTGGACGGTATAGTGTGTGCGACCGATGTAATGAGCCACAAATGAGAAGTAGTACTTAAACAGTATAAAACCAAAACTTTCCCTTCTGTTGGTAAAGGGCGCAGCCATCTTGGATTCTGAACTCGGGATCCTTTGTGCTGCTCCGAGATATTTCTCGGATCTCCGAGAAACGGGAGCGCGCATGTCTTCACTTCCGACTTGAAAACTTGGAATCAGGCTGGGATTCTGAGTTTCGAGGGCAAATGGAACGCACCAACAAGCTGCTTAGAGGACATCACTGTACAGTAAAAGCACTGGGGCAGTGACAGGCTGCTTCAAGGACAACCCAGCCTGATAACAGCACTGGAGTAGTGACAGGCTGCTTCGAGGCCAGCACAGTGCAATAACAGCACTAGAGCAATGACAGGCTGCTTAAAAGAAGAGTACAGTACAATATCAGCACTGGTGCAGTGACACTACTGAGCTGGCAACGTGGTGGGGTTATTGTATTGCCACAGATACACCCCTCTTAGCCGAGGGCACACTACAATAACAGCACTGGCACAATAACAGCACTAGCCTATCTTACCTTAGACAGTACAATAAGAGCACCGGCCCTGTGATGTGCCTTTTAGCTGAGGGTACAGTACAGTAAGAGCACTGCCCCACTAGTTCAACATACTGCTGAGTAGACAGCAAAGCAAGGTAACTGCACTGGCGCATTGATGTCCTTTCTATCTGAGGGTACAGTACAACAGCAGCATTAGTGCAGTGATGTCCCTGCAAGCTGAGGGTACATTACAACAGCAGTCCTGGTGTAGTGATGTCCCTCCAAGCTGAGGGTATAGTAGAATAAATGCACTGGCGCAGTGACAGACTACTGAGCGGTGACCTCATCCTGCAGCTAAAAATCAAGCCACACGACCGATTCTAAACTGTGTTAAGCCGTCCGTTGTGAATCGGGGCAGACTCACAGACACGCATTAGGCCGTGTTGCTCATGTGGACATTTCTGCATACTTGAGAATATCATGTCCACCGTAAGAGGCTTTAATGAAAAACCAAAGTTTGACTGTAGAGCTCCAGACTGTGGCTGAGTTTGTGAAATGTTTGCCTAACCTCAGGGTGCATTTTTTTGGGAAAATGGAAAACAGACCAGGCGAAATGCCCCTGCAAGGCTTTAAAAAAAAAAAAAACACCTTTTGAAAAGTTGAAAGTCAGCTTTGAAGGGGAAGGGAACAACAATGTGTGAAAACGTTCTTTGTTATAGGGTTACAAACATAGTTCATATGCAGGCTACCCAGGATAGTGAGCCCAGCATTTCATTCACACCGTGCAGTTGCTGCCAAATGAGCGCGGCGTGCCGGCGCGGGCCCACCTGGGAAGCAGGTGGCCAGGTGCTCCATGAGAGCATCCTGCGTGACCGGCTTGCGTGTTGCATTCATGGCTGAGATGGCCAGGCACAGGATCTCGCCCAGCGGGATGAACTGCGACTGACTGATGGGGGACATGCTGATCGGAGACACATCACCTGTGGGGAAGAGGAGAACAGCAGGGTCACACACAGACAGAGATCAGGAGGCAGGGGAAGCCTCAATACCTCAATACCCTCAGACACTGGATGTTTGGGAAATTCCAGACACCTGACCTGTCATACACCTTAATCAATGTTCACCGGATAAACTCCTTAAAGAGAATGAAGAAATGACAGAACACAGTATTTCATCGTAGTGTCAGCAGCACGTAAAGTTAAGGACAAGCGAGCGAACGCAGGGCCCCCCAACCCCCATGTCATCCCCAGGCCTAGTGAATGAACTCTGTGACCCTCTAACCACTCCGACTGGAGTCACTGAATTTCAAGAAAGCCCCCCCACCCTCTTCAGCCCATCCCGGTCAAGTGCCAGGAAGAGGCATAGAAAGGGGCATTCGCAGTGGGAGAGGGACAGACTGGCAGTGACTTCCTGGAGCCCTGGGCATAGACAGCCACACAACCACTGCCAGCAGTCGGCAGGGCTACCAGAAGTTTGACACATAAAAAGGGAAACGTGACTGTGTTTTAATGGGGGTGGGGGGATGGATCGGAACTGGGAACTGCCAGGACATAAGAGGCCTTTTCAGGGTTGCGGCATGTGGCTTTGAGGATGCCAAGAGAACAGGATGGGTCAGACAGGAGCAAGGGCAAGAAGAGGGGGAACTGGGTGGCGCTGAGATAGGCAGGCCAGCAACAGACAACACAGTCAGTGAACAGCCCAGTGATACAGCTGAAGCTAACATTACATGTAGATGCACGGACATATGCACACTCTCCGGGACCAAGAACGAGGCACATACTGACCAGCAGAGCATGTTACACTGAAACAGAGGAAAGCCACCATGGAGATATGAGGTGGCAGTGTCGGTAAACAGGCCATCACTGACTGCATTGTCAGGTGCAGAGCGTCAGAACGCGTGAGTCACGGCTCACAGCCGCCTCCAGGGCACAGGCCACACTGTTCCATCCTGGCCAATACAAACCTGAAAGCGGCAAGAAAGAAACACCTGTAACAGAATGACCTTTCAGAGTTGGGTCATGTGACAGACTGACTGTGGTTATAGGGGCACAAATTCAACACAACCTAATGTGCAGCAGAAATCATTGTGAAAGACACCACCAAAATGCATTATTCCCGTGCCTAGCAGAACCTCCTGTCCTCAGAGACTAGGGTTGAACAGTAAACCGGTACTGAAAAAACCACGGAACTAGAGTTCTGAAAATGGTTCAATACCAGCATTTTGAAAAAAAATCAACACTTTTATTATGCAAATGGATAACTGATCTGGCTAAAAGGAATCTGTCTCTTTAAGCTCACAGTTGACAGCGGTGACATTGCCTTAGTGGTGTGTATGACGCTGCATGAAACAACATAGAGCAATGGCAGAAATAATGGTGTACTTTTCCTAAGGTTAGACTTGAAGAGATGGCAGTGACTTCAGCAACACCTGAACTCATTGTAAAAGGGGGAGGCCCAAGTGAAAGATGGAGATATTTCAGCCATAAAGCTGGAGAAAAATGCAAACCCCTAAACATGGCAGCACCTCTGTGCAAGCGCCGTTATAAAATGTGTCTCCCAAAGAGAGGCAACATGTCTAACCTGGCCAGAATTTAAGGAATTCAAAGACCGACAGGTGATAGTTGACTCTCCTATTATGTCCATGAAATAAATCAGAGTGACCGAACAACCTCTCAGTAGCAGTAATATACATATTCATGCATAGTCTACAAGCTCAGAGCCCGAGGTCGAAATGGCCTCTATGTCAACACTTGAAAAGCCGGCTTTCCCACTTTGGAACATCTCTCCATCCGGGTTTCATAGGGCTGTGGCTTAAAGTGCCGGAACTTTCTTTTAGGGTGTTTCCACAACAGCAATAAAGATGCAGACCCTCCTTTTGCCATAATAGAACACAAACAAAGAAAGGGGGATTAAACCCCACAACCACACTGCACCATGGCTACCAGGTGAAATTAGTTTTACATCCTCTGATAAATGCGTGACAATGTGAAATAAATAAAAACAGACAACGTGGTAGCACTGCCATGGCAAAAGGGCGCTTCAGTGACGGCACCCGAGTAACAAGTGACCTGGCTGTCGGATCCTTAAAGGTGTTGACAAACACCGGGTCCCCAATACAGAAGTGGACCAGAGAAGCCCAGCCAAAGATGGGGGGCAGGAAACCACACAAAAAAACTATGGGAAGAACAAATTCATGATCCACAAACATAGGGCTGCTCACAAAACTTTGATTATAGATCATTGTGATTTAGGGACAGACCCTCCCATCCCTAAAAGTAGTAACGTGCAAGTGTTTGGGGTGCATGCTTGGACATGTTCCTGCAGATTACGGGGCACACACATACAAACGACAACAGATGCAACTGCACTGTAGGCACATAGTGATGCCCTTTCACACACATTTTGGAATACATTAAGTTAATGTAACTAGCTATGTAACTAGCTAACCCAGATCGGTTTGTGTTACCAAAAGGCTAACATCTAATTAAATCTGTAACTCGCTAACCCGGATCGAGTTGTGTTACCAAAAGGCAGGACACCACACCACAGATCACCACATTACCGCAGACCTAAGAGCATGTCGGCCAGCCCAAACACACAAACAGGAGTTCCCCCCACATAGGTTCTTACATACAGAGCCCAACTTTGCCTCAGATCAGCCTTGGTACGAGGCACAGAACGAAGAGGACAATGACACAGAGTGGGACACCTGGCAGACTACTTTTCCTCCTAGCAAGCACTTGGAGCTCAGAATGCATGTTCACATCCATATCCTCGGATTTAAAGGACGCCACAAGATGCAGATGGGGTGGGGGTGACGTCATGGCTGCCCAAGCCCTCAGCAGAGAGAGAAAGAGAGAGACGAAGGGAAGGTGGTGTGTCATAACACTTGCACCAAGGAGGGAAGCTCATGCTCATTCAGACAGTCTAAGTGCTGAGGCCAGAATTGCCACCAACAGCCCCTCCCCCACAGCCACCCAGAATGGGGGCAGAGAGAGAATCCAAAAATTGGCTTTGGGGGGGGCGGGGGGATTGAGTTCAGGGTGAAAAAAATCAGCCCCTATACTTCCATGGAAGAGGCAAGAGGCTACAGGGGTAAAACAGAAAAACCACACAGCCTCCCCCCATCCATGTGAGACTGAAGATGGGGCTTTGCTGGACAGCACCCGGAGCTGCCATGAAACGAGGTGGGGGTGAGAGATAGGGGGGCGGGGGTGGGGGGAGGAGGACAGGGACGCTCGCAAACACAGGCAGATGACCTGAGATTCCTGCTGCATTCTTCTTAGTTTCAGCTCCACAGCCATGAGCCCTGCAGCCGTGGATAACAGTACTGAAAAACCAAAAAATAAATAAAAAATCGCGAGACAGATTCCTCTTCTGACGCTCTGCTAGTAAACAAGTCCTCACTGGCAGCAGTCTTTGTCCACGCACCTTCAATACAACCCCACCCCCATCCTGTTTCATAACTCAGCCGGAGCCTGTGCTCCAAATCGCTGCTAATTAATGCAAACAAAACGAGGAGGGTGCAAAAACAGAGCTGGGGATAGCCAGAGCAGGCAGGGTGGGGGGGAAAGCGAGCGGGCGGGCGAGCAAGAGCGAGCGATAAGATATTCAGTACCTTGGCCTGCACTGGGCTCCTCTGCCAAATCCCAGCAGACTCTTCAGATTCAGCAGCCCTCAGACAAATGAGCATTCACTCTGGGGTCTTACCCAGCATGCTCCGGTCCACACAAAGACGAGAGAGGTGTGACCAATCCCGTGCAGGATAGGCAGCCACAGCTACTGCGAGCTCCCTCCCCCGGTAATGCCTACTGACACACACGCGCACGCACTTACGCACGCACGCGCTCCCTCACAGAAGCTGAGGCAGGCAGCCCGCTAAAACGGTAGTCATGGCGACGCTTCCTGGTCACCGCCCCCAACCCCACTTGTTTCCTCAGCTGCTGCTTTCCTCTGTAATGAAAAATGGAGAAGCGCGCTTTGCACGCCGGACTCGACGTCACACGCACACACGACGCCCCAGCAGGTGACCGCTGGGGGTGACTGCTGCCTCTGCGTGTTTGGGGGGAGGGGGAACCAGATCCTCCTTTGTTATCTAATTAGCTAAGGACAAGAGACCACTGCCCCCCCTCCCCCAGCTCCCCAGGGACAAAAGTGAGAGCGGTTTTAATGACGACAGGGCAGTGGGGGAACAGAAGCTAGATTGGGGCTGATGACATCATCACTCTACTAAACACGGACAGCAAAACGTTGCCCGAGTGGCTTTGATTTTTTTTTTTTTTTAGTTTGTTCCACGCGGCTGTCTCTCGCTCTTCTGGGGATGACATCATCCTGGCTGCGGAGCAGCTGCTGATGTAGGGAGCGAGTCGCAGAGGGGAGGGGGGTCGTGTTTACTTCATCACGGGGAGCCTGCGGGCTGCACCTGGCGTGAAGAGCCCCGCGGACACGGACACGGACACACGCCTTCCCATTTAACCGCCCTGTATTTGCAATTCTCATCATTTTACTGAATTTATCTGAGAAAATTCTCTGACACAGCAACAATCCTGGCCACTCAAAAAGAAGGTGCCATGACAGCGCACATAAAACAGCCCTGCCTGTAGAAGCGCCCCGCGAAATGCCCGTGACCATCAGCAGAATTCCTCGAGGATCTAATGTGGGACACACCTGGAGAGGAAGGCGGCCTCCGGTGGTCACTCAGAGCCCCTGGAAAGACCGTGAAGTTGATAAGGACAGACACTCCCAGGTTTCAGGTGGTTCCAGCCAGCTTGGAAAACAGGAAAAACAAGCCAGGAAGCCAGAGGGACTATGGGGGCTGTTCATCCGTCATGACCTGGAGACGCATTAGCCAGTCTCAGCTTCGGCCACCTTGGGCTGGTCTGTGCTCTCAGACACCCTTTAAACCCCTGACACAAGTATCACAAGAGTCACATGGACAAACAGCTGGAAATGAAAGAACAGAACAAAGAAGGTCTGAAGTAGCACCCCCACCCCAATAGTAGAAGATAAACGTTCCGAGCTGACGTGAACATATATATTTAGCTGCTATATATGAATGTGTGAATGATGTCATCTTAATTAAATCTTGCTTTTCGGTGCTATTCCACATGAAGTACCACTAGGTGGTGGTACGAGCCCAACCGGCACTGAGAGAGCAGTACTGATGTGGGGAGGAGGGGTGCAAAGGCACAGTTCACAGGGAGGTGAAGGCTAGCAGCACCAACCTGACACCCTCTCCGAGAACTTCCCTCTGTCCGTTCCAACATCGTCCGGCAAGAGCATCGACCATGTCACCAGGGAAACAGGTGCGTTCATCCCATAGCAAACACCAATCTGAGAGAGAGGCTTACTGCATGACACAGCACTCTGCCAATTGCCGATTTGTGGCAGCTCTTATCGAACAGGAGAAGCCAGACTGAGGTGACAAAGGATTTTAAGGATGGCACTTAGAATTTTAAATAAAATCTGTTTTCCTCAAACCCACAGTCGTCATTACAAATTACACAGAATATGGACTGCGATAGACAAACACACAGCACCTGGGGACACAAACCCACAGCAACGGGACAGACCAGAAAGTCACACACAGGGAAGCAGTCACAGCCCGTATGGGGGAAGCTGACGCTTGAACTCCCCCCGTCCCCCTCACACTGACTTTTCTCAGAGGTACCGCCCTCACCTTTTATACTTGCCTAAAAATGGCTGTTCTCATGCCTCCTCTTCTCATGAGTGCTGCCCACTCCCATCCAGGACTATCGCTACATCTACGATGATACCTGTCTACCACCAGTCAGGACACGGTCAGTGTGTACCACACACTATGTCATGGGGTCCGCTGCTCTGTCGGCACCCTGATGACGATCCCATCTGGAGTCTCAAACTTGCATCCTTTACTCTACCTTAAAACATCTCTAACAGCAGTTTTACTTTGATACCAGGTCACGTGGCTAACAAACATCATATTGCTGGATTATAAATGCAGTCTATTTTCAGAAGGGCTAAACCCCAGAGGAAATCCAGTGAGATGAAGAAAAAAAAGAGAGCAGGCTGTTGACATGGAGGGCTGCAAGTAGCTCAGGGTACAAGTGTCCCAATCCTAATCTTCCAAGTGTGTGGCCCAGGTGCACTCTAGACGGGCCCTTTCCTGGACGAAGTTACCCAGAATTCTGTGTGACATCCAGAGCTGGATCAAAGGATTCATTATGATAAGGGATTTTCATTTCCAAAACCTCTTCCCATGAATGGTGTACTTATCTGGCAGAAGGCATGACACAGCTAGTCTGAGAGGAGTCCGAAGAGTTTGTGACCCTCCTGTAAACTTGTCACAAAAGGGATCCTTTCAAAGTCTCTGCAGTCGAGGAATGGAAATGGGACACAGTTAATGGCAGCCCTGCATAACCAGTGTTTTAAAAGGGACGGACTCTTTGGGCTGATAAATCTTTTGGCCTTAACTTTATGAGACAGATCCACAGCAGCACGGAGGGAAAATGCTGATTTCGCCGTCCCCAGGTCCTGGATGGTACTTGTTCACAAACATGTTAGACATGCTTTATTCTTGAGGAGCGCTAGCCGACTTTACCGGGAGACCACACACGTAAATTATGTCCTGGTCACAAGACACCTAAAAAAAATAAAAGATGACAAAGTGGAGAGAAGCAGAGATAAAATATGGGCTGAGCAGTTATTAATCTGCCATTACACTATTAAAAATAGTCGTTTTACATGAAACAGGCCAAATTTTCTGTGTCTACATACTACGGGGGATGGGAGAGGAATTAATGGGCGAAATGGGTCTGGAGACTGAGACGGCCGCATTATCCCAAGGGAGTGAGCGCAAGCTGGGGCACGCGGACATTAAGGAGAGTCAGGAGAGGTTAAACCGAGCAGATCGCTGGGGGGAAGCCAGGATCCCGAGGCTTACCTCCATGCAGGTGAAAGCGCAGTGCTGAGGGAGGACAGGAAGGAGTTTGCAGCCGGAAACCAGCCGTGGCGCATGGCGCTGCGGGAAAGGGTGTCAGGCAGGGGCTGAGAAGGGCGGGGCACCATGCATAAGCACCCTGCCAGGAAAAGAAGCCTGCTGCGGAGAGCACAGAAGCGGCATCTCTCTCTGGCATCGCCTTCCCACAGAAACTCCAGCCAGCAGCATTCACACCACCACCCCCCGTCTTCACAGGATGCTCAGGTCTGCTACGAGTCCACAAACAAATCCGCTCTCCACACAGAAAGGCTGCCAGCATTTATGACGGCCGGCTATGAACCAGGGTTAGTAAAAGCATCAAACACATCCAGATTTTCCTTTAACAATATGGAAAACAGACTCTGACTTTCTGCAAAGTCGACGGGGAAGCACAGGTGTGATTAGAAATGGGCCATCAGGCCAGAAGAGCAGGCCTGGCGGGACCCTGGGATGACAGTGTCGGATTTTCTGCCGGAGCGCCTGCTCCAGGCACCCAGCTCGCACTGCGCTGACGCCAGACTAAGACCCCTGAACCCGCCCCCCCACTTTTTGAAATTTTGCAGCACCAAAGTGGCGAGGGGGGTTACAAACCCCCCTTTTCAACCTCCCACAACACTCTGCACTCCCGCTGTGGTCGTCAGGCCTGGCCAGGAATCCCTCCCATCGGAATCATGCCGGCGCTGTGAGGCCCACTGCAGGCGTCCAAGAGCAACGCCAACGTTCCAAAGAAAACAGGGGCGAAAATCTGGGATTAATCACCGAGATCCACACGACCCGGTAATGCTGACTTGGAAAGCCGAGCAGTAGGAAGACCCGGGAAAACCTGAGGAGCCCAAATCCAGCAGACTGCCAATGTCTCTCCAAATGTGAAGTTCACAGAATCTCCGGAACATGTGGAAGGAGGGAGAGAGGAGAGGAAAAAAAAAACCCAACAAATGACTCCTGTCTCCTAAGTCGACAGACAGCACCAAATCCCGCCACTTAAATCCCCCCTATTTGGGGGTCTCACACTGTTCCTTCAAGTTCCCACAGCTGCTTTCACTTAAGGACGGCACAGCAGCCTTGCCCTTCACAAGCTCCCAACAGTGGGGCGACCTCCCCCGGCCCCGCCCCCGCCCCCGCCCCCGCCCCCGGGCCCAGGCCCAGGCCCGGAGCTTGCACTCCTACTGGCCCATTCCCCAGTGGAATTCCTTTCCATTATGGCTTCTGTCCCCGCGATGAGACAAGCCACTCT